AAGCAGGAAGATCATCGGTGATAGTAGGCGGCAGCCTTGTCTTACTCCTGTCCCCTGTCTTCACTTCAAAGGCGTCACTGGGCTTTCCATTGTGAATCACTTGGCACACAGCATCATACAGCATATAGCTAGCTGTTGAGTGAGGTTGATAAAGGTTCGTGGTGTTGAAGCAGTTTCCAAATTACTTCTCGGTCGACGCTATCGAAGGCCTTTTCAAAGTTGATGAAGTTGAGGTTGAGTTAAGTTGACTACCATTCTATGCTCTGTTCAATGATGATGCGTGGCGTAGCGTTGTAGTTTGATCCGCACATGATTTGTACTTCTTGAATCCAGCCAGTTTGTTCCAGTTGAATCCAGCGCATCCTTTAATCTCCCCAGGATAATGCGGCATAATATTTCGCTTGGTGTGGACGGCAACATGATTCCGCACCAGTTCTTGCAAGGACTTAGATTTCCCTTCTTCAGGAGTTTGACAAGGTAGCCCTTCTTCCACTCGGCAGGTACCTTTCCTTCCTTCCTTCCAAGCCTTGTGCAATGGTGGTGTGAACATTTCCGCTGTTGTCTCTGCGTCTGTTTTCAGTGCTTCTGGCGGAATTCCATCTGGTCTTGCTGCTTTACCGGGGTTCAGCAACTTTATGGCGTTCAGGACTCCACTTCAGCTTTTGTCGGAGGGCTTGTGTTCACTTGTAGTTCTGTGGCTGAGATGCTAATGGTATTTCTGGACGAGTTGCAGGTGATGGTGGTGGTCGATTCAAGAGTTTTCTGAAGTGATCAGACCATTGTTTCCTTTGTTTCTCTTCTTTGGTGGTAACTAGGTTTCCTTCACTATCTCTCATTGGTTTCGTCTGCGTTGATCTCTTCCCTCCCAGATACTAACCTGGTTATTTGGTATAATGTTGTCAGGTCTCTCCTACCTGCTGCCTGTTCTACTTCACTTGTCAATGTGTCGTAGAAGAAGTGTCTTGTCTTTCCGTGCAGTCTTCTTCACTTCTTTGTCCAGTGTTTTATACGTTGTACTCAGTTCCTCTTTTCGTTGTTCATCCTTGCACTGGACTGCACTGTTTCATCATCTTCCTCTCCTTCCTCTATCAGCTTCCATGTATCCGTGGAGATCCATTCCTGTCTTGTTTCTTCCTTCCTAGCATGGTTATGCAGGTTTCCTTCCAGGTCTCTTTCACGCAGTTCCAGTGTTCTTCCACCCAGGTTTCTTCGCGGATGTTGCTCAATGTCTCCCATTTCGTCCTGATGACTAACGTGAAGATGTCCCTTGTAGTTTCATACCTCGGTTTCTGTTCTGGGTGTTGAACTTGAACCATGGTCTATCACCAAATTCTTTCAAGGCTTTCAACTTGATCTTGGAGGTAGGTTCCTTGCACTAGATAGTGGTCTGAACCTACATCTGCCCTCCTTCTTGACCTGATCTTGTGTCCAGTAGGCTGCGTCTTCACTTTCTTCACATTGAGATGAAGTCGATCTGATTTTTAGTGTAGTGTGTCCATCTGGTGAAACCCGTGTCAATGCCTTGTGGATATCCTTGTGTTTGTACACACTGCCTAACTCCAACCACCAAATCATTAGATGCGTAGAAGTCTGCAAACAGTTCTCCATTCTCATTCATCATTTCACCGACCCAGGATGAGTTCTCTTCCTTTGTTGTCTGCTCCCAGTTTGCCATTCATGTCACCCCATTAGAATTTTGATGTCACCAACTGGAGCCTTGTCCGGTACTGATTGCACTTGTCTGTAGAATTCCTCCTTCTGCTCTTGATCTGCATTATTTTCAGGCACGTAGCGTAGCATTGTATGTTTGTGACTTTCCTTCCTTTTGATTGAACTCTTGCCGTCATGATCCTGATGCTGGAGGAGATTGGTTCCCAGTGCATGAGAGAGAGCCTTCCATGCTCTTGGGGACGTCATGATAGTCACTCTAAAACTCAGTGTGCTCGTGGTTGTCGTCTGGTTGACAGTATCGGAGTAGATTATTGACTTTTCAGTTGACAGTTTTGAGAGTCCGCTTCCATTCCATCTGTTTTCGCAGATTCCTAGCACTAACATACTATACCTTCTCATCTCTTTGGCAATCTGGGCAGCCTTGCCAGCTGGCTTCAAACATTGTGCGGACATTCTATGTCCCCATGTTTACTTTCGCTTTCACCGAGAGAAGAGAAGACGTATTGGCCAATCGGGTTCCCGAAGGCTTTCACCAACCGGCATCATTTCGTGTCCCTGACTCCAGCGAGGAATAAGTTTATTTTTATCTCTTATATTTTGTTTGTGCTTTGAAGTTTGTTTAGCGATTGGATTGGTTTTGCGGGGTAGGGTTGCTAGCCCTATCCCCAACCTTCCCTTTTTTATCCGGGCTTAGGACCGGCTTGTAATTAGTGATTTAGTTAACCGGGAGAGGTCATTTTGTACTTGCTGCTTGTCTTTTCAGTTGACTGACACCCAGAGAGCTTTAACTGGTCATGTGATAAAATAATTCCAGCTGGATACTTACATAAGTTAGTATGTTTGTCCACAACTATTTTAACTAGGAGCCTTATAGGTAGGCCACTAGTTCTGCTGATAATTTGATGTCTTCATCCATCGTATCTGATGTACTGATACGAAAGATCCTTTTAAACAGGCATTTTATCAGACCTCGCTTGTATTGGATTGGATAATAACTGTGAATAGTGAAAGTCGGATCCCATAGGTTTTCATGAATTAAATTCCTCTTTGCTAGTGGCATTCATATTAAAAAGCTGTACTAAATGAGCGGTTACGATTGCTTCCAATTTTTTCAATATCTTCTGATAAGACATCGGCTATGAATTTGTTTTCATGTTTGAAGATGGATAGCATTTTATTTCTGTGGTCAGATTTATGCATCACGACGATACCTGATCCATTATCAGGTTTAAGGATGATTATATCTGATCTGTTCCGTAATCCCGTCAAAGATTTGAAGTGCTGTGAACTCAAAATGCTTCTTTGTCTTGTTTCTGAACTATGGGATTGATGAGTAATATCAACTAATTTAGCCTTTACCAACTTTGAATATCTGAGGACGTAGGGAGAAGAGGGCTCAAATCGTCATGGAGAGTTTCAAACTGAGTTTCAATATCCAGCTGAGAGATTTGGAAGTGTGAAATTCAAAAATGGAATTCCAGAGAAAGCACCCCTTTATAAGGAGTCGAAAGTACAACAGAGGACGAATTAGTCACATGTTTATCTCAGACGCACGGAAATGAGATTTTGTACTCCTTCAATGTAGATTCCTTATTCATTAACTTGCCATTGTCCAAGAACATTAGCATTGTGTGTGACTATATATCCTATAAAAACCTCCCATTTCCTACCACTCCAACCTTTCTGAAACAGCTATTATGGCTGTGTACCGACAAAGTTCACTTCACATTTGAAAATGAACGCTTTCAACAAGTTAACAGAGTAGCTATGGGTAGTCCCTTAGGACCACTACTAGCTGATATCTATGCCATATACCAAAAATCATCGCTAAAGTTCCTCTTTACAGGAGATATGTCGATGACATCATAGTGATTTGTGAGAGGCATGAGGATATGGCTTGTCTACTAAATAGACTTAACGCCGTACAGACTCACATCAGCCCGACTTGTGAGAAAGAGAATAGTAATCAACTGCCATTCCTAGATATACTCCTGAACTGACGAGAAGATGGTTAAATAAGACAGTCAATTTACAGAAAGCCTACATGGACAGGACAATACCTGAATTTTCACAGCTTTGTCCAATCCAATACAAGCGAGGTCTACTGAAATGCCTGTTTAATAGGATCTATCGTATCAGTACATCAGATACGATGGATGAAGGCATCAAATTACTGATCAAAGCACTTATGGAAAATGGATACCAAATGAAGCTCACAAACCGTTGTAGAGATCAAGTAGCACCAAAGCCAACTCTATACATGATCCCTGAGAAAAGCGTCTATATCACCCTACCATAACAGAGGGGGGTTGAATAGTATCATTATGAGACGTAGGCTGACATCAGGCATTAAGAAAATATATAACACGGCGAATCTTATCATTGTGGAAAAAACAAAACACCTGCTTCACCGAAAACCTAGACACTGCATCAATGATTGCGTCACATCCCACTGTGTTTACCAGTTTACGTGTGTGTATGGTCATACATACATAGGGAGGAGTAATCGAATCATACAGTTGAGGGTGAGAAAACATGTGCCTAAATGGCTTCAAAAACAAACAGAGTGTGAAACAGTGATAAACGCTGATGGAAGACGACCCTCTTCATCTATAGCTAAACATACCATAGAAACAGGTCACAAAGTTAATGTTCAGACAGCTTTCAAAGTTTTATATAGAAACAGTCAGGGACGTATTCTGAGATTTGCGGAAGCCATAGCCATACACAAATTTAAACCACCTATATGTTTTCCGAAGAACAATTTGTTCTTACACTACACCTACCTTGGTAGACTTTGTTTTCTTGTCAAGATTAGTATCAATTATGTCACTCCTGTTTGTTCTCATCTTTCTTAATTTTAATCCCCTATTTTGTTAATTGTTGTATTTTTCCTCCCACTCCTCGGTTTAATATATATCGACTTGACAAGTAAATGTGTGATCCGATTGTTCGAAATGTATTGCGCAAATATATCATATTGTTCAGATAAACTTTGTCTTCTAATCACGCCGTCGAAATTATTATTATTGTTATTATTAAACATCAGTCATATGGTTTGTTTTGCTTAGCAATAAAATCAATAAAACCAGGTTTTTTCAGAAAACTTTACGAGAAAATAACCTTAATATTTTTATTATAAACAATACACACACATAAATTATTTTTTTGTGCTGTCATTGTTGATTATATTAACTTTTAACTGAACATGAACTATCGTAGTAGACAAATATGCTATTATTATGCAAATATATTTATTTCGTTGAAAATACTAATTCAGAATTTTGTGAAAACAATATTTGAAATGTTTTTCTTTACACACTACCAAGGTCACTCACACCTGCTGTTTCTATTTAAAAATTTTTACTGAGGTGGACAAATTCCAAAGGAGAATTATTCTAGTCTGCCTGTATTGATTAGATTATTAGTGTTGTGGATGAACTACCAACTCGTTTATACTTTCTTCGAGGAAACGGAAAAGTGAAAATCACTGTCTCCATTAGAATGGTTAACCGTGTTGGTTAATGTGCATTGGTGGATTGAAATGAGCTGTGAAACTCATTGAAGTAGAGATTGGAATTCAAAGTGGATGTGAATTCATCAGGCAAAAACTCTTCTAATGTGCGGTGATGGAAATCAAAACACTTGTCACTTCATTATGGCATTATTATTAATTAAATAACTGCAGACATTGAAGATTTCTATGTAACTAGATAAACAGAAAAGTCATTAATCATACAAGTTACATCTGGTTCAATGATGATTACTGTCTGGTAGCCTGCCATGAACTTTGTACCTTCAAGATAAAAATTCATCTTGAATGATGGGTGAGTATGCCTCTGATGCTTGACTTACACTTAACCTACTGAATAAGTACCTAAAACTACATAAAACATTACATAAGGCACTTTAGCTAAACTTGCGACATTCAACAACAGCAAAAAATGAGACTGTTTCGACTGGAAGGATGTTCTCAACATGCTTAGTTGAGTACTGTACTTGAAGGGAAGTGAAAATGCAAACAATAAAGGAAGCAAAAAGTTAAAGAACTTAGAGAAAATAGTAACCAGTTACTAGTTGCCTAATATTTGGAAGATCCACATACACACCCACTAGTATTATATTTTGATCTTTCTGTATTCATTCGTGGTCAGTAGCGTCAACTTTGATGGTAACATTGCAAGTCAAACTGACCAAAGTTATGGTAATTGTCAGAATGAAACAGATAGATCTATGAGCCTTAGAAAGCAGGTATACGGAGGACAAAGATAAAAAAATTCACTTTATGCAGGCAAGTTTATATGCGTTTAAGTGGAAATGATTAGTCTCGTAATCTTCATATTTATACTAGTTTACGCCCTCTGCTGTACAATGCCAGAAGTTCTCGCTGAAATTTGAGCATAAGCAAAAGCACTATTCATATTCACGTGATATCATCTTATGATACAAGCTTTATTTTTGCTGAATACGTTGCAATAACGCCTTATCATAAGCTATCGCAGTATGTTTTATCCTCTGAAGATGAGAATGAATAAAAATATTTCAGAATCAAGACATGGAACTATTTTTTAGCATATAAAATAACAAGGTCGGGAAAACATCTCTGTCTATAATGTGTGATGATTTCGACTGTTGTGACCAAGGCTTTCTCAAAACTCTTGATCACCAAAACCTTGTTAACTTCACATGCTAGGATGCAACACTATACTTCGTATTCATCAATGATACTGATATGCACGAAACTCGAAAGAGATCCCCACTGCTCAGCTCAGATCATGAAATTATAAGTGTTTTGTACAAAATATATGGCAAACTACACAGAACAGCTTTCACATATAAGATCGTACATAGAAACTATTCACTTAGTAACATACTTATTCTAAGAGAAATGCTACAATGTAAAGACCCGAATATATTGGACAACGATGTTTTGAACGATACTATTGCTGATGTGACAGGCCATCTCAAGATTTCCCTGGATATATGTTGGCCCAGTGAAAATCTTTTCTACCCTTCGATCGTATATCTTCTCCCCAGCTTAAGAAACTAAGAAGAGGAGGGATTATATGAAGTAAATGATAATGCTGGTGCTCGTCGATTGAACGTTTTAATGTGGTTGGAAATTAATCGTCTGAGTCTACTATATTGCCAGGAACTCTTGTCATGTAAAGGCTCTTTCAGTATGTTTAGACTTTTTGAAGACATCACTGGCAGTAAACACCATAGTAAAGAAGCACATGTTGACGTCTGTGCTTTGAACAAATTATTTATACGCCGACCCACTTGTCCCGTCCCACTTTGTCCACAAACTTCCAATAAAGATTGTTGGCCACAGTTCACTGAAAAAGATATTTTCAGATGTCTCAAATCCGTGAACCATCTGCACAGTTCAGGTCAGGACGCTATGTCAAGCTTCCTATTCAAGAAGTATGCTGATGTTTTATGCCATTCACTAGCTAACATGTTTAAGAGATAGTTTTTAAAAGACACAATACCAGCGATCTGGAAAGATATTAAGATAGTCCTCTTACCTAAGTCAGGGACTCCAGAAGCATGTTCTAGATTCTGTCCGATTTTAGTTACTTCCCGTTCTTGAAAATAATGGGGGAGCTAATAATACCGGTGCTCTAACTCTCATTGAAGGTTTTCGGAGACCCTAGTCGATTTGCATATAAAAGCAGAAGAAGCATTCTGAATCCCGCCACTGTCTGATGTGATAATATTGCCTGTTAGAAATGTCAAGTATGTCAGGTGTTACTTTTGAGACTATACATCAGCACTGGATTCTGTCCGAAGACCTCTTTTCTAGACAAGCTCTAGGGGACTGATACTGACTTTTTCGGACCTTTTCTGATTCTCCCATATCTTACTAATATCCAAAAACATTTTCCGCCTAACTTTCAATATAACGAAGCTGAGAATATCTGGTATAACTCAGCTTCTCATCTTGCTATATAAACTCCTGGATCTTAGCTGTCCTCCAATATTGTTCCAATTTATTCTTCCTTGGGTTTCTGAAAAGCGGCCATGCTATTTTCTATATAAATTTGAAGATTATCAGCAGAATTAGTGGCCTACCTATAAGGCTCCTAGTTAAAATAGTTGTGGACAAACATACTAACTTATGTAAGTATCCAGCTGGAATTATTTTATCACATGACCAGTTAAAGCTCTCTGGGTGTCAGTCAACTGAAAAGACAAGCAGCAAGTACAAAATGACCTCTCCCGGTTAACTAAATCACTAATTACAAGCCGGTCCTAAGCCCGGATAAAAAAGGGAAGGTTGGGGATAGGGCTAGCAACCCTACCCCGCAAAACCAATCCAATCGCTAAACAAACTTCAAAGCACAAACAAAATATAAGAGATAAAAATAAACTTATTCCTCGCTGGAGTCAGGGACACGAAATGATGCCGGTTGGTGAAAGCCTTCGGGAACCCGATTGGCCAAAACGTCTTCTCTTCTCTCGGTGAAAGCGAAAGTAAACATGGGGACATAGAATGTCCGCACAATGTTTGAAGCCAGCTGGCAAGGCTGCCCAGCCTTTCTGAAACAGCTATTATGGCTGTGTACCGACAAAGTTCACTTCACATTTGAAAATGAACGCTTTCAACAAGTTAACAGAGTAGCTATGGGTAGTCCCTTAGGACCACTACTAGCTGATATCTATGCCATATACCAAAAATCATCGCTAAAGTTCCTCTTTACAGGAGATATGTCGATGACATCATAGTGATTTGTGAGAGGCATGAGGATATGGCTTGTCTACTAAATAGACTTAACGCCGTACAGACTCACATCAGCCCGACTTGTGAGAAAGAGAATAGTAATCAACTGCCATTCCTAGATATACTCCTGAACTGACGAGAAGATGGTTAAATAAGACAGTCAATTTACAGAAAGCCTACATGGACAGGACAATACCTGAATTTTCACAGCTTTGTCCAATCCAATACAAGCGAGGTCTACTGAAATGCCTGTTTAATAGGATCTATCGTATCAGTACATCAGATACGATGGATGAAGGCATCAAATTACTGATCAAAGCACTTATGGAAAATGGATACCAAATGAAGCTCACAAACCGTTGTAGAGATCAAGTAGCACCAAAGCCAACTCTATACATGATCCCTGAGAAAAGCGTCTATATCACCCTACCATAACAGAGGGGGGTTGAATAGTATCATTATGAGACGTAGGCTGACATCAGGCATTAAGAAAATATATAACACGGCGAATCTTATCATTGTGGAAAAAACAAAACACCTGCTTCACCGAAAACCTAGACACTGCATCAATGATTGCGTCACATCCCACTGTGTTTACCAGTTTACGTGTGTGTATGGTCATACATACATAGGGAGGAGTAATCGAATCATACAGTTGAGGGTGAGAAAACATGTGCCTAAATGGCTTCAAAAACAAACAGAGTGTGAAACAGTGATAAACGCTGATGGAAGACGACCCTCTTCATCTATAGCTAAACATACCATAGAAACAGGTCACAAAGTTAATGTTCAGACAGCTTTCAAAGTTTTATATAGAAACAGTCAGGGACGTATTCTGAGATTTGCGGAAGCCATAGCCATACACAAATTTAAACCACCTATATGTTTTCCGAAGAACAATTTGTTCTTACACTACACCTACCTTGGTAGACTTTGTTTTTCTTGTCAAGATTAGTATCAATTATGTCACTCCTGTTTGTTCTCATCTTTCTTAATTTTAATCCCCTATTTTGTTAATTGTTGTATTTTTCCTCCCACTCCTCGGTTTAATATATATCGACTTGACAAGTAAATGTGTGATCCGATTGTTCGAAATGTATTGCGCAAATATATCATATTGTTCAGATAAACTTTGTCTTCTAATCACGCCGTCGAAATTCATTGTCGGGAGTAACTATTTTGAATAATATTAATATGTATATCTGTGGTAATAGTGAGTAGTTTAGTATATCTCGTTAATTATTATTTTAAAAGGTCATTTAGTTTTTTCTGTCTTGGAAGATAATTTTCATGATGGGCTAGTGAAATGTACTTTGAGATGGTTAAGAATTTTTTTAGCTTGTGCGGATGACTCTTTGATATTCTGTTCTGCGAGTTTAGTTTATTAGTCGCGCAGCATTTTGATCATTACAGACAGCATCATCAGCATTAACTTCAGAAATAAGTGGTGTATAGGAATTTCTCCACAAAGGGTTTAGTAGCCTGTCCTGTTTGGTCACTCTGTGACTGGTTGTTTATGTGAAAGCCTTATCATTGTCGCCATAAGTATTCCGACTGGTTGTCCTGCGGACTTGAACTTTTACCTTCTCAGTGTTTCTTGTTTTTATTATTGATTGATAGATTGGATCAATCTGAATGTATCTGTTGATTACTGATTGACTTGAATGCCAACCTTTGTGAGATTCTGGGGCATTCCTTGTATTTACTTCATCCACGATGCCTACATTTTCCCATTCAAATTTATGTCCATATTTGTCCGTATACACTTTTATGAGCGAAGATATGTCATGAAGCGTTACTACTAGTTGATGTTCATGTAGAGGGATACGAGGAGGTCCGACATGAACATCAACTAGCTATAAAGCGTCAGAACATATTTTCGCTCATGTCAAAACATAAAGACAATTGTGGACATGAATTTGACTGGGAAAATTTGGAATCATGGATAGATGAATTACTAGGAACATGAAAGAACTTAAAATTGATTTACTATTTTTGACTGTTGGAATATGCACCATATTTCAATACTGATGTATGCCCTATAAAATTACGTATCGCATCATCTATGGCGGCTGCTAGCGAGCCATCCGACTATTTATCAAGGAAAAAATACACTGCGCTGCTGTCCAATCTGTCCTGTCATTCGGTTGTGAGACATGACCATTGAAGCGAGAAAGCATGAAAGGATTATTCAATTTTGATGACATATGTCTCCATAGTATTGCTCTCGTTTGTTAGAACCACCGTGTGATCAAAATGGAGGTCAAGCGAAAGGTAGTAGGTAAGACAGGCAAGTCAAGTGAGATGGGTTGAACATGGACTGCTCATACCAAGCCATCACCAACCTTTCGTCTTTTTCTTCTGTATCTTGAGGTACTGACGCAAAGTATAGCAGCTTCGACAGTTACGCAGTGATGCTAAGGTTCATACTGATGCCAACTGACAGATAAGTATCAGTGAGTATAGGCAGTTGGAAAATGATTAGTCTTTGGATTTTAACACATCAGTTTATTAACACTGTTTCTCAACCGCAAACTATCTTCACAAGACACGCTACTAAATCACTCATGAGGAAATCCTGATAGCTCACTACCTATTGAAGTTAGTGCTGATGATGTTGTCTACAAAAACAACGAAAGCTTCATAATTAAACCACTTAGATCATAGAATGCAACACAGCCAAGAGATACCTAGACATAAAGGGTCCAATCGATAAAATGGTTCCCCTGCTTGAAGCGCTGTAAATTGTTCACTAAAAACGACTGAAAAGTATTTGGCTATCTGAGGACTATATATAGGCTTACCTCAGCCATAATGGGATGCGATAGAAAGCTTGAAAAGAAAAAAATGAGTGAAAAGCGATCGGTCACCTTGTAAACACCCCTGCAGTAGACAGAGAAACACACCTGTTTTGTGGCGGCTTTTGATTCTACTTGGCAGCTCAGTCCTTCGGAGGTTTAGCTGGGTTTGGACTCAACCCAATGGTTGTTAGTCATCTTAGATCACTGAGCCGCACATCCTCCTTGAAAGTAAGCCTACCTGTTATCTGTTGGAATATAGATAGAAGAATGTCTAATATGGTCAGAACACTAAAAGTAATTAACAATTTCATACATCTAACCATTGTAAATATCAATATTTACCTAAACAACGAGATTTTTTCTTTTTCTATCAGTGTATTGATGATTGGTCAAGAAAACCAAGAAATTTTAACAACTTGGCAAGATATTGCAATGAATTCAGAGAAATACGATGCAGATACAAAACAAGCAAATCCTCTAGCGGTAACAAATAATAGTAAAATGAATAGTTCTTATGTACCTTTATCAGACAAATATCAAAATCCTGAAATAGGTATCAGTGGTAATGATAATGTAAAAAAATTAGGCTTGGATAATCAATTAAAACAGATAACTGCCACGGATTCAGTGGTTCCAATAGGAACTAAATTCTTTTTCCCTACACTTTTGTCAAATGGCGTTTCATCTACGCAATCGCAACGAAATTCTCAACTGAATTTCCCATGTTCACATGAAAGTAGTACTAAGTTAATGTCACGTGAAGAAGCTCTGGTAACACTATCAGAGAAAACATCTTATCCGATACTACAAGAAAATGGTCAACGACGTTATGGACCACCACCAGATTGGCATGGCCCACAACCACCAAGAGGTTGTGAGGTATTTATTGGGAAAATACCACGTGATTGTTTTGAAGATGAATTAGTGCCTATATTTGAATTAGTTGGAAAAATTTACATGTTCCGACTGATGATGGACTTTAGCGGATGTAATCGTGGATATGGGTTTTGTATATATACAAATCGTGAAGATACTAAACGTGCAGTTGCTGAATTGGACTGTTATGAAATACGTAAGGGTAAAATGCTGGGTGTATGCTTTAGCGTAGACAATTGTCGCCTGTTTGTTGGCGGTATACCAAAATCTAAAACGAAAGAGGAAATTATGACTGAAATGTTAAAAGTTACTGAAGGTGTAAAAGATGTGATTGTTTATCCAAGTGTTGCTGATAAAACTAAGAATAGAGGATTTGCATTTGTTGAATATGAAAATCACAAGGCAGCAGCTATGGCCAGACGTAAATTAATTCCTGGAAGGATTCATTTATGGGGACATCAGATTGCTGTAGACTGGGCTGAACCAGAACGTGAAGTAGATGAAAACATTATGTCAAAGGTGAGTTCTGTTTTGTGTTCAAGCAAGTAGTATATTATTTCTGCCTGGTACATTTTTTCATGTGATCAATTGAAAGTAGTATGATTTAGGAAGGGAGTATCAATAGCATATGTGAGTGGTCTGAAATTGACCCACTGGCATGCTCAGATCGTTGCTGGCTTTTCTTTAGCATTATATAATTCTGGTCAGTCAGAAATTTGTTGACAATGGTTGAGACATTTGTTTTCTGTTTTTAAGTACTTTTGTCAGAGACAGCGTTTCAGCGACTGACCTCGGTACTTTGACAGGGTGATGAACTGGCGACAGTTATCTTCTCTAACTTCCTTCAGACCCTTACTGAACCTTCATATATTGCCTGGATAGCTTCACACAGTAGTTTGAACATAATGAAGTTGAAATGACGGAAAAGATTTGTAGCTCAGGATAACGATAATAGTGGTTTGGTGTTCTCTGAGCTTTGATATTTTGTTGTTGTCGGTATTTTGTCGACAAAATATTAAAGCTCAGAGAACACCGAACCACCCACATACTCAAGTGATTTTACAGTCTTCATATCTTCATCTGAGTATGTCTGGATAGTGCTGTTGTCATGTGTGGAAAACCGCAACGTAAGTTAAAGCGAGGATAACAACACACCACTCATTATCAGCCGACATCAGCCAACTACATTCACCAGAGATTGGCTAAACAAGTAAGCACAGCGTACTGTTGCATGGCAACTCAGTGGACTCATAGTGGATGTCTAACCTCTCAGCTAGGTCGTTAGTAAGAAGCATCGACATTGCTAACTGCAGGAATGTACACAAGACTGCTGTGAACTTTCCGAATTTTGTTTTCGATGCTGGGGTGAGGATTTGGTGATAGAAATCCTAAAATAACTTGACAGTCAGTCATTACCTGTCAAATTAATTAGTCAATATTTCAGATATTTAAAAGCTAATACAGGTATATGTGTACATAGGTTGTATATTCGGCACCTCGGCAGTCATCTTCGTAATCTAACGTTCAACTTCTCATTATGCTTTATTAATTTAGGTTATAGGCTTTTAATCATAGGTATCTTTACAGTATTTATCACTAGAGTACCATAGAAACGGTAAGCGTTGTTGCTTTTAGGTTACTGGGTAAGGAAGGAAAATCAGTTTATGAGGCGATGAATCTTAGCTCAGTGAGTTGACTTGAACATGTAGTGTGCATGCTAAGCTGCTGCGTAACTTGATGCGTGATGTTGGCTCATACAATGTTTGCTTAATAAAAGCAAAGTATGGCTATTGCCAGATATACCCTCAATCCATGAAGTTTCTGGCTACTGATGCGGGTGTGCGGGAAGTAATAGCCTTTCTAACTACATTATTCAATGCGAAAGTAACCCATAGTTGTTTATTCTTAGCAATATCAATAGAAACCGACGAAGAGAGCTTACATATATTCTGCATTCATCGCCTTCAAAGTGCTGAACATTTTTATCTCACTTTCTCTTTATTATGGTGTTATGGACTGATGACCTTCAGCGAAAATTATGGTTTCTTTCTGTTTATTATTTAAAGGTTAACAACGGTTTGAGGATGCAAGGTATCAATTTCGCTGAGTGTAAAAAGTTGCGTTCTCATTTCTTTGTTCACTACCTGCTTTGCTTTTGAATTAATTAACCCTTGGTAGTTAGACGTCGTTTTTTGTTTTTAGAGGGTTTTACGTAGTATGGCACAAAATTGATCTCAATTTCTCAAACTGAATTGTAGTCTCAGTATCGATAACTATGACTCTTAAGATGACCAAGTGCCTCATCTAATGATTGACAAGGATATCGTGAACTGCTGGTCAAATGTCTAGCCAGTGGCACAAAATTTATCGTTCTTTGTTGAACAGTTAACTTGTTGGACGACTGTGATGGTTATGGTATATCGAGTCACCATCCAAACTCATAACGGAAGGCGCACATTTAAGCCATGTTTGAGGACTCACGTGTTTACAAGGCGGGGGATTGTAGTTGTTCGCGATGGTGAACCTTTTTATGGTCTACTCTGTCAAGCAGCTATTAACCTTCGAATCAACTTAGTGTCAGAACTTTCCATCCAGTTGTGGGGTTTTGAAGTGAAGAAACCCATTTAGCGTGGATAATGATGGAGTTAACCCGAAGTACAGAGACCTTTCAGGGTACCTAACCCGTCAGATCAGGGGTTGTCATACGGAGATATGCTGTCTGCTATGTTAGTGGCGATGGGAAAGCGTGAACCTTACAGTGCATGTCAGGTGTGATGAAGGTTACAGGCTAAATGCCTACTGTCTCTCGCGAGCGATATACTATTAAGACCAAGTTGGCAGGCGCACTTGCTTAAATCACTGTTATGGGTTGCAGGTGGATGTTGACGTCCACCCATTGTAACTGCACTAGTGACGGCTATCGAAAGCTCAGAGTGATTAAGCTAGTATCACCCCTTCTGGCTGTGGAATGGGTCTTAGGAAGCAGGTACCAATTGACTCCTTAACCTGATCAACTGTTTACTAACCACATAGGAAGTAAGGACTGAAATGCCTGAGTGCGTCCATTTAACCACTGTGAGAGCGGGAAGGTGTTAACTGAATGCTGATTACCAGATGCAGTCGCCCTCATTGGGATAACCCAGGGTAACTGCTTCCGTCTCTGCTAAGGAAAACCCCACCTGGTTAACTAGTTCACTAGTTACTAGCTGGTCCTAAGCACGGGTAAAGTGGGGAGGTTGGGCGTAGGGCTGGCAATCCTACCCCGCAAAACCAATCCAATCGCTAAACAAACTTCAAAGCACAGACAAAATATAAAAATAAAAACAAACTTATTCCTCGCTTGAATTGGAGAGGCGAAATGATGCCGGTTGGTGAAAGCCTTCGGGAAGCCAATTGGCTGATGTGTCTTCTCTCGATGAGAACTGAATTAAACATGGGGACATGGAATGTCCGCACTAAGTTTGAACCAAATCAAGTTGAAAGCCTTCACACAAGTTGGTGAGAGACCACAGTTCAAGTGCAACACTCGGAAACTGAAGGACGAAACTACGAAAAAAATCTTTATGGCAGCCATCACGACAAAATGGGAAATATCGAGCAGGATTCAGGAAGTACAAATCATGTGCGGATCAAACTACAACGCTACGCCACGCATCATCATTGAACAGAGCATAGAATGGTAGTCAACTTAACTCAACCTCAACTTCATCAACTTTGAAAAGGCCTTCGATAGCGTCGACCGAGAAGTAATTTGGAAACTGCTTCAACACCACGAACCTTTATCAACCTCACTCAACAGCTAGCTATATGCTGTATGATGCTGTGTGCCAAGTGATTCACAATGGAAAGCCCAGTGACGCCTTTGAAGTGAAGACAGGGGACAGGAGTAAGACAAGGCTGCCGCCTACTATCACCGATGATCTTCCTGCTTGTGGTCGACTGAACTGGATCATGCGACAGACTGTGAGGAGTGAAAAGAGAGGCATACGCTGGCTGGACCGATGAAGAGATCCTAGAAGGTTTGGATTTCCCCCATGATGATTTATGTCTAATGTCGCACAAACTCGAAGATCTTCAAGCAAAAACCAACAAGTTGACAGACGAGTCAGTGAAGACGGGACTTCTTCCAGGTGGACGTAGAGAAGATAGAGGTGATGAAGACACCCAACCAACAACAACATCAACAGCGAGCATCAGTCACCGTCGACAGAAGAAACCTAAAAGAAGTAGCCTCTTCCACTTACACCTGCCTAGGCAGTCTCGTTTCAACTACAGGCGACACAAGCACAGATGAGGACGTCAAAGTCAGGATCAGAAAGACAGCAAGATAGGCCTCCATTAACCTGAAACCGGTGTGGAGATCTACTACACCCAGCACTAAGAACAAGATCTGGATTGTTAACACCAACGTCAAGTCAGTGCTTCTATATGGTTCAAAAACCTGGCGCGTTACGAAAAGCATTTCCAACAAACTACAGACACACGTCACATCAACAGCTGCCGCCTACGCTCACTCAATACTGAAGATCAAATTGCCAGAATAATAAGAATAAGCAACAAGGAACTCGGGCTGGCTGGCAACGAACCAACCAATAGCTTATCGCTCAACAGATATGCAGAAGAAGAAAGTGGAGATGGATTGGGCATACACCGAGAAGACCGTTTGGCGACATCACGCGCCAGGCCAGGTTCTCGAGTGGAACCCAGATGGGAAACGACGAGTTGGGTGTCCGGGGCGGGGGTGACATGGAGGAGATGGTGTGAGGAAGAAATGAGAGCTTCTGGGCTGTCGTGGAGCCAGGTTGAAAAGACTGCAGAGAAGAGAGTGAAATGGTGATGTGCTAGTGAAGCCCTATGTTCTACTGGGAGCCCAGGGGACAAATAACAATAGTAATCTGCTTAGGAAGTAATAGGAGATATCCGGAAGTGTATGGCTTGTTGTGTGTACCGTTTCCATGCACCGACTAATAGGTCAGTGACGTTTAGCTGACCAGCAAAAGGGCGATGGTTGTAGGATTACAATAGTATAAGCATTAGTAAGAGTAATAGTACTGGTAGTGTGCATTGTAGCAGTATGATAGTAGTAGTTTAGGATTTGAACTGCTTGGAAGTAACTGTCAGTCTATGTTATCTCGAAAGCGATTGATGATCTTTTGAAACTGTTTAGAGTTATTTTTGTTTTACTCAGGTTCGAATATTATACGTGAGAAATTTAATGCTTCATACATCAGAAGATGCTGTTAAAGATCATTTCAATCGAGCGATCGGTGCAATTGACGCTGTTGAACGCGTAAAAAAAATTCGTGATTATGCATTTGTACATTTTCGTGATCGACTGCAGGCCGCAACAGCACTTCAGCAACTGGACGGTAGGTAGTAGTATGCATGTATTTCATTTCCTAATGCTTATTAGGGATATTTATAATTCAATTATAATTTCTAAAATAAGAGTCTAAGATTCAATAAAATGCATTACTACATTACATTACTGCATCACCTAAAAATGCCCAAGGCAACGTCAATAATTTACGTAGAAATAGGTTATCTCAGTAGCAAACTGAGACATACTCTATTGAGAGTTTTTAGAGTGGATAAAGATCTGTTGATGGACTAGTTGGCCCAAAGTTCGAGTTAATATATGACAACATCACTCGCTGGGAGGTAGATGCATAGAGCTGACGAGTCCTAAGTAAAACGAAACGCAATTTCTGGATTCCGCTACTATCACTTCCAATGATTAATACCGAAATGTAGCTGACTGGTTTATCCATAAATCATCGGAACGAAGTATGCGTCAGTTTTCTATTTTCTGTTTCATTATGAAATGTGAAGATGAAGATGATGAATATCATTTACCCAATGCAAAATTTTTTAAAACTATCGAATGATAACTTGGCTTAGGCGTCTATTAAAAGAAGTTATCACTACAGCACATGATCATACTATGATATGCAGTAAGCAGAAGTTCAAAATTAGAACAGAAGGGCAACTAGTAGAATGAGAAACATAGTCACAGAATAGGCGTATATATCATAGCATTAGAATACCAGTGGAAAAGTATTTGACAAAGTCTTGTGACGACAGTTCATACCAGAGAAGATACAAAACTGCAAAATTAATATCATACAAACTATACCATTTAGTAAGGACAGTAGTATGATTTTGAATTGTACAACAGTTGAGGATGAAGAAATCCATGTATTTATTTAAGCCTAATTAAGTAGTTAGATCGAAATACGTTCAATTTATCTACCAGTAGTTACGTCACTACACATTTGTGAAATAGATAGTACAGTTTAAACGCTATTTTGATGCAATAAATGGGTCAGTCTGATAAAGTAGGAGAGTAAACTTGTAGAATCAATGAAAATTATAAGTTTGACTTTCTGAGATAGCCGTCGTTTGTACAGTTGCGTTGATACTTGATTATTACTGAAAGTGAAATGAAAATCTAGGTTGCGGTAGGATTCGCAACTAAGTTGTGAGACCACCGAACCGGTAACCTAAAAGTCACTGGCTTGAGTCCTGTGGTAGCTCAGATTTCCGCTTCACTTTCAATCATATGAGAACTACCAACTTAGAATTATCCTTTTTTTCAGTGAATACTCAGTTTTTAAATCAGTATCATAACCGTCGGAAAACTCAGATTAAAATGTGCTGGTAAGTTTCCTTACTTTCCTAGACTGGATTTTTCGGTTCAAAGCTTTGGGAGCCAGTTAAGCTGCCATCTTCAGTTAGGCTTCATGAGAAAGTGTATCGGGCGTATTACCTAAGGGTATTCATGGAGAATTTAGTATGTGGTGAACAGCATCCAGATGTCTGACATTTTATCATCCTCTACGCTTCTTTTTCTGATCGAGTTTGGTTCCCTTGAAGTTTGATTACTGTACTCATTTTTGAATGTCAGCTCTTAAAACATGCTGACATCATTATTTATTTGACTACTTGTCAGTTACAAGCAGATCCAGCTGATCTTCCCAGTCGTAACACTGAGGATAGTTTCATTAAGTGGACCGTTGACCTCTGGCCTAATCTTTAGATTTATTCCAACTAGACTGACTTATGGAGCTTGCACTTGATATGATTTTATGTAATAAGGTTATTATATCGAATTAGTAAAACGCTCTATCAACAACACTTATCACTTATCGATAAAACCTTGAAACTGGTTTAGAATAGTCTTTGACGGGATAAAAGAAGCTTCTGACTATCTAGTTTTAACGTCTAGAATCAGTAGATCACTAGTTTTTACGGTTAGTAACCTGTTTACAAATAAAGCTAGAAAAAAGCAATGAAACTAAGAAAACAAAAGTAATTTTTACTCCGCTACCACCTACATCTTAATTATATGTCAAGTCGACGTTTTTGAAGGTTCGGGTGAAGTAGCCCGGTTTACTTCTTCAGGAAGAAGGTTCTAAGATTTAACAATTCCAAGTGAGTAGAAAATGTTCATGTTATTTGACCTAATATGCTCCAGGTTCAATTTTTGCACGTCCTTTAAGACTAGTGATATAACTAAGGTTAGACAAATGATGGAGTGGTTGTCTAGAGTTTATAGGATATTGTTGGTGATTATCAAGTCTCCGCTTAGTCTCATATATTCCAGACATCTAAGTCTTTGAACAGATTTTTTTCCAGGCTTTATTTATTTTTCAGCGGAGATAGGGACGGTAAACTATGGTCCCGAACTCCAGTTAAGGCCGTATGAGGCTGTTGAAATATCTCATGGAAACACCTATGATCGAACTATCCAGAAAATTCGTCTAACAGTTGTGAGAACCGAATTCCTACGAAATGTGCTTCTGTCACAGTTGGCATGGGATTTTAAGTATTGAAAGAGTTAAGCACACAAATCCTCCTTCAACTGTGATACCTCAAGTTCCATACCATTGAGACTATATACATAACATGCAACATTTTTTAGATATTCATCTCTGCATTTTTAAGCGTTAAATGCAAACTCATTATTGATCATGCAGTTTTGAAGTTGGGTTAAATCTTACCACAGGGAGACACTATTTTCCTGACATTAGATTTCTGTCCGTAGTTTGTGTTGATAGCAAAGAAGGATTCCATATAAAAGTTGGAGGCGGGTTGTTTATGTAAATTAGAAAAAGAAGAAACCCTAGTGTCGATCCCCGGCAAACTCCACCTGAGCATTTTGTTTCTTCAAACACGGAATAACTTATTTGAACTCTAAATAAATGACCTAGTAAATATTAAAACAATCAATCATTGAACGATGGTTTGCCACTCACCAACGCATCCTTTAGAGTCTTAGATCAAAACTTTAGATTTTTCAGCCTGTATATGGCAATATTTTGGAAAATAAGATGGAAGAACTGTTTAGATTCGGAGTGGGTCAATGTGAAAAACGCTGATTATTACTTTACCTTGACATCGAAGGATGTAGTGGATGGTGTTTGCCTCAAGCCGTGTCATTAGTGACTGATGAGGTTTCTCAGTTAGTTACCTAATTTATATCAGCTTTCAAAGTGGACTTTCATCATAAGGCAGCAAAAATATAGGTGTCGAACACATTTTACAAGTTAAGTACTGATCAGATGTTTGGAGATTCATCAACTTTAATTAGAGTGATGTGCACAATAGTACAGAAACCAATAACTTGCATGCACATATAAATGTATCCGGAACGTTTGAATTCTTTTAATCTCCTGAATACGTTTAAATAAAGTGAATGGGCTTGCGGTGCACAAAAACAGTGAGTCTCTTACATAACAATCAATATACACGTTTCTCATGATTTTGCAGTTTTTCAACACCGAAACTACCAACAGCCATCCTCTGAAGATCATACGTCATCGTGTTTCACCAAGAACTATTACTTAGTAATGATCCGTGACATACAAATGTCTTCAGAACAGCGTATTAGGTTAAGATATTAAGAAAACTACTACTAAATGTAATTTTCTCTGGAATGTGCGACTGATTGAATTCACGTCAGATAGCATAACTGTTTGTCCGGTACTTTAATCACTCTTACACAGTCTACTCAAAATAGTTGGTAGCATCAGCGATGCCTGATTATTAATGTTTCTAAACCATTCATTTCAAAAATTGTGTTTCGTGTTCATTTATTAGTGCTCCGATAAAAGCTAGAAACTTAAATAAATATTTTATGCTACTTAAACAAAAAACAGTAGTCGAAACAAACAGTCGGATTCAACTAGTGAGGGAAAGCATGTTCTGTAGGTGCCACTCGACTACCTTATGGTAACAAATGTAGGCCTCAAGCACATACTGCTGGTCAGAGTCTGTTGACAAGACTTTGTTGACGATTGATGACATCAGGAAAGCCTAGGTTAAAAACATTTAGTCGAGTGACTACAACAACCTAGCACAAAAATAATGATTTGTCAGTAGGAGCAAGTATGTAGAAAACAGAAAAAGCACCTAAGATATTAGATGTCATAAGGAGTTCAAATGTAGCACCCACAACGTAAGTGTTTTAATTCTGCGACTAAATACGTTTAGGTCATGCTTTCTGAAAAGCCTCAGACTGTGGGTAACTCGTACATCCTAATGTCTGTGTTGAGTAGAAATTAAGCAGCCAATTAGAAATCGACGAAATTTAATGCTTCTGGCACTTCACTTAAATTTTTTTTCATTCTCATATTAATGTTCATAAAGAAAGGATGGGAATAAAGTTGGAAAATTGTTTTGATTTCATTGATGTTGTTCACACAGTGAGTCTATCGTGTCATGAAGAGTGATTTTTGTTAGTAAGATAAAGCTTTAAGTAATCCGTTTGTTGATCATTTCTCATTACTTAAACTGAAACATCTATCCACAGTAATTTATAATGATCTAGTGAGTCCTTATAAGCATTCAACATCCCAAAACATGCAATACTACATCGAGTTATGGAGCTTAAATTGACTATCATTGACACACCGTCACCAGATCTGCCTGGACAAACCCAAGATTGTATATTTGCTTACTGTTAGATGAAATATTGACTTGATCATGTTACTTGCCAAAAAACTCAACCTATTAAGTGATGATGATGATGATGATTTCAATATTTCGTAGATTTCAGAGTTGCATACTTCACTTTGCATGCTTCACAGTTGTGTTCTACACGAGGAATGTGAACTGACTGTAGTTACATCAGTATATCTCGTGTATTCTATCGTACAGAATGAATATATGTCTCGTCTTAGTTATATTCATTCATTTCACCAAGCAACCTTATTCTTTGTAAATGGTTATGACTCGAGTGATTAGATTCTATGATCTGTTGGATTAGGCTCCATATAAAAGATACAACACAATATGGTGTCGGTTTTCACCAACATGGAGTTGATGTACACTAACCAAGTTAGCCTAAATAATTCATTAAAAGCTA